ATTGTTTTCATAGCCTACTGGGGAGTTAATAGAGGGAGCATTCTTGTGCACAGGGATGGTAAGATGTCCAAAAACTGATGGTTAAGGCAGAAAAAAGTCCATCTTCAGGTTTATTACTCTTTTATCTCTCTTCAAGTTGGGAGTGGGTGGAGGGATTCAGTTTGAAGAAAACAGCTTCAAAAGTATCCAGAAGTCAAGCCATAAAGTGTTTCAACACACTTTAAATTGGATTCAAAAACCTATTATCAGCCAATGCAGCAACTACAGTTCTATTGTATTGCTATTAAAATAGTTACACTGATCTGAATTACTGCATTTAGGACCAGCTGTAATTTCTGTGTCATCTTCAAAGGCAGCCAACCAATACATCAGGACATATGCATGTCTACAGAGGTTCTCAATCATTCAGTTTGTCCCAAGTCCAGTTGCCTTTGGGACAATACATATAAGAGTAAAAAGTGTGTGCTGAGAGTGAGTCATGCTATCAGAGGTTTCTGGGTCTAGAAAGGACTGCAACTGGCATAAGAACCAAAACCTAGCAGGTGGTCTTTTGGCCGGGACCTTCATCTGCTGCCAGAAACAGCTATGAGTTACAGCTACAGCAACTCACCTCTTGTAAAATTCAATCCCATCCAGAGCCGGTACTGAAGCCAAAAAGAAAGTTGTTCCAGATATAGCTATATGAATTGTAATCCATCCTGCTAAGATAATTTAAGCTTGTTGTGTCCCATCAGTTCCTTACAGCTTCCAGGAAAAGATAACAATCTTTGCTACATCTACGGCCAGGTCTAGGTAGGTGGCAATATACAACTGGATATCAGTGACAAACTGATACTTCACCTCACACTGCTGGATGACCTATTCCATGGATTTCACACAGATGTTAAAACAACATAAGGAAGAGAACTGGGGGGTTAGGCTGCTTTTCTCTCCTGCCAATGAACATGCTCAGGACAGAAGAATAGCGCTTCACATTCCCACCTTTCACGAGAGAATTCAGAGCTCATACTACAGGAGCAATTTTTTTCCAGCCTTAACAAGGTAAAAAAAATCATGGATAATGTCACAAGATCCTGCTGTAGTGTTCTTGCTAAGCTTTGAAAAGTGACATTCAAAATTGAGCAAGTATGAACAAGAAAGAATTTCATGGTCGTGCCTTAATGAACAGAAGGGAAGATCTCCCACTTATTCTTGCCCTATTTGCTGACCCACAAAAAGTAGACTATGAATCTTCACAGCAAGCCTCACTCATTTCACGCTTACCAACTGGTCAGGTTGTAAGTTGCATAGCAGGGAACATACTGCTAATATTTACCATTGCTGATTATGTAAAACCAGAGATTTAACACAGAACCACCGGGAAGAAATAGTTTACAGCTTTCTATTACCTCTCAAAATACTTCTCAAGATCATCAGAAGGAAAAAGACTAAATTTTGCCGGATCTGATTGACCCGGCTTGAAATGATCAGTTTCATGCTCCTGAAAAACAATTATTTCAAGCAACATTGCTCTGAAGGAACTCATTGCTTTTCTATCTCTCCCAATGTTTTGTTTCAAGCTAAGCATGTTTTATATAAATCTTTTTGAGGGTGAATGTACTGTTAACAGCATAATTATAATTTTGCTTTCCTAACAAATCAATGCAGAATCCTTCTAGAATGTAGATTTATGCTTTGCTTGAACTATTTACCACAAATCCATAGCACTTTTCCTAATCAGTTACTAGCAGCTCAGTTTTCATCTGTAAATATGAAAAATAATTAGTAATCACAGGTGTAAGGACCTTTATAATGATCAGGGGCCCTTGATGGAGGGGAAGAGTCTAATTCTTTCCTTCTGTGTTCATAGTGAAACCATTTCTTGAAATCATTCCTTGTACTGGCAGAAAGTATCCCACTTACATTAATAAAGGGTTTTAGTCTCATTAATTCTTCTTCAAATCCCATAATTATCAGGCTATTCCTACATTTTTAAAAGGTGTCTGTTAAATACAAAATGCCATTCTTACTTTGGCTATAGTAGAACAGGTGTAGATATTTATAAGGTTCCAAACATGGCATTGTTATCCCTACCATCACTAGGGAAAAAATTCCCATTGCCATCATCTGTCTTCATTTATTCCTCAGAATACTAGCCAGGTATGAGAAAGTATCTTCTCACTTCTTCCCATTTGCCACTAAAATGGCATGTTTTAGCTATATCTACTCCCTGCTGTGACTTAAATATATATATTTTTTTTGCTGGAGAAAATGGTTGCCAGTGCATAGATGTATTTGTGTATATGGGTTGGGGGAGGCCACAATAAGGTTTACTTTTCCCCCCAAATTTCCCTTTGAAATTGTAGTAATTGATTCAGTTTAACAGCTTCTTCTTGAAATACTCAAAAAAATTGTGAATGAATGTTTGAAAACTTTTATTTTAAAATATACTAACATAAAACAGCGTTCACTAAAAGCATAATGAAAATGTGGAATCAAAAGTTTCTATTTTGAAATCCAAGACTGATTATCTTCCAGGCAGAACAGTCATAATACCACACTAGTGTCCAAATAGGAGCATTTTTGTAAGTGCTCAGAGTCACTTTCATGTGAGATGGGCAACTATACAAATATAATAAATAAATAAAACACTTCACAGGTAGTCCTTGACTTATGACTATTTATTCAGTAACCATTCAAAATTACAACAGTGTTGAATGAAGGGACTTATAACGTGTGCCTGAATTTACAGTTCTTGCAGCACCCCCATCATGCGATGAAAATTTATGTGCTCAACCTGTTTTCACTCACAATTAAAGGGATATTGCAACTCTCCTCTAACGTATCTCCACCCCAACTATGCTCTTTTGACTATCCTGCAAAGTGGTACTTGTTAGCCGTGGTATAAAAAGGTTAATTAGGCAGATGGCAGTGGGCTCTGGACTGCAGTTCAGAAACCAGGAGCAGAGGGTGCATAAAAAAAAGGGTAATGCAGGTCCATGCTGTTTGATTTTGTACAATGTCAGAAAAGGGGTGATGTAGTTATGATCAAATGAGAAACCTAATGAAGTCTATCAAAGCGAGTAACAAAAAAGTAACCCCTATAATTTAAGTAATATAATCCAAAGTATTAAACACAGGCAGGAGTTATTCCCAATGGATTCCACACAAGAGAAACAAGCAGAGATAGGAATGAGGTAATGACATAAGGTAATGCTAGGTATTGCCTTCGGTGCCTGGAAGAAAGATGGGATGTAAATACAAATCAATAAATACGACTAACTGTACTCTCTGTTGCTATATTACATTTTTACAATTGCTTTATGAAAGCCCTGCAATGGCCTTTACTACACCTTATCAAGTTGTCCTATACCAGTGATGGCGAACCTTTTAGAGACCGAGTGCCCCAAAACCACTGCCCCACCCCATCCCTGCTCCACTCTGCCCATTGGGCCACCCACCACCTCCATGGCCCGCCACAGATCACCCAGGCAGCCCAGCAGCGCCATGGCAGCCACGCCCTCTGCCCATGCCCCGCAGCAGCATCTGAGCACAATGGGGCACAAGAGCAGAGTCTTGTCCCCGCTGCCCGGCTACCATGTCCTTGGCTGCGCTGCTTCGCGTGGGCCGCGCCCAGGGGTCACTCTCCTCCGGGGGGGATGCTGGTGAGGAAGGGGCCGTGGGAGGAGACGGGGCTGGGGAGACAGTGCATGTGCCCACAGAGAGGGCTCCGAGTGCCACCTCTGGCACCCGTGCCATAGGTTCGCCACCACTGTCCTATACCAGTGATGGCGAACCTTTTAGAGACCGAGTGTGCAAACTGCAACCCAAAACCCACTTATGTATTGTCGGGTGCCGGGTGGGCGTGGCCCATTGGGTGGGCGTGGCCCATTGGGTGGGCATGGCTTCAGTGGTAATGGCAGACTGGGCGAGACTAAAAAGTTCAATCAATCAATTCCAACTTTGCAAGATCTTTTTTTTCCCTGTGAGAAGTTGAAATTAATTGATTGATTGAACCTTTTTTTTTTCATACGGTGGTGGAGGCCTAAAGCGAAAAGGTTTTATAAAACCCAGCTGAAGGCCTAGGACTGGGGTGACGGTGCGTGTGCCCACAGAGAGGGCTCTGCGTGCCACCTGTGGCACGCGTGCCATAGGTTCGCCACCACGGTCCTATACAGTAACATTTCTTTTCACCAGACCAGTCCTCCTTCCACACTTTTTTCCTCTGGAAAAAAGACCACTCTAGACACAGAAAAAGAGAATGGCCCAGAACTGAATACCTAATCCTCCTACCTTCTATCCATTTCTCCCATCCTATCATCATTGCACAAAATTACCAATTTCATATCCATGTTTTTTTTTTTAGCAAACAGCACACCCTTCCTTTAAAAAAAAAAAAAACACCACCACTAATAGCTGGGACTCCTGGGAGAATCTTATGCACAAAAGTTAATTTAGTTTGGCCAATGAAAACGTGATGTACTTAAGGTACAGTGTGCAGCACTTTTGAGATGGCACAAGATATTGTCGTCCCCGTCCCGTCCCCCAACCCCCCAGCCCTAGAAGTAGCGTTTTAAAACTGCGCTCAATAAAAGATTTTTTTTCCCGACATGACGGGCGTCTTTATGGAGATACATTTCCGGAAGAGACCCAGCATGGCTCTTCGGTTACTAAGCAAACCATCTTCCCTGCCCACTTCGCTTCTCCCACAGGAGCCCGGAGAAGGAAGAGACGGGGGGGGGGGAAGGGACGTGACACTGACTCAGCCAACGAGAGGGACTTACCCAAGAGCTGCGCTGGGACACGCTACCGGTTTCTGTCCACGCAGGAATGACTCCCTCGCCACGCTGCCGGGCAGCCGCTGATCACGCGTGACCCCCCGCTCGCCGATTGGCCCGAGCTTCACACACCTTTGAAGGCGATTGGCCGGGCCTGCGCCCGCCTTCGTCTACGCTAAGCTGGGGGAGACGCTACCTGAATGGGGAGCTGCCGCGCGAACAAAAAGAGGAAAATAAAGGCAGCGCCAAGCAGAGCGCCTGAGGCGGGGAGGGGGACGGTGCTTGTCAACAACTGCAGCCCGCCCTTTTAAGCATCCGTCCGCCGCCTATAACGCTGCAAGGCTTCCCATCGGAGTCATGCTAAATTTTGGAGAGTCCGCTTTCCAGCACACCGTAAGTACAGATCTGGGCAGCTCGGTGTGTGTGTATGTGTGTATGTGTGTGTGTGAATCGCTTATCGAGGCAGGATAAATAAGCCCCGATGGGAAAAAGCTTGTCCTGGGTGCGGAAAGAGATGGGAAAAAAGCTACATCTGTTCAGGAAAGCAGTTCAGAAAGCGGCTTGTAAAAGGCGTGTAAAAGGAAACGGGGTCTGGCGGGGGATGGGCAGGGAGCGTGAGCTGCCCCTCGAAGGGGAGAGGGAGGCGGCACGCATGCCAGAACCCCGGTGGAGAGTCTGCAGGGTCAGAGCTCCAGGATTGAACGCGCGACAATTAAAAAGTGATCGATTTTGGACGAAGGTGAGCGGGCCGCAAAATGGGGTGCAGTGGAAAGCAGAAACGTTGCTAGGTAACCTATTGGAATTGGCAACGGACTGACAAGCGAACTTTTGCTAGAAATCGCAGGTTTGGGAAAACGGGGAGCCTCCAAGGCAGGGGTTCTCAACCTTGGCAACTTTTAAGACTTGTGGACTTCAACTCCCAGAATTCCTCAGCCAGCAAAGCTGGCTGAGGAATTCTGGGAGTTGAAGTCCACAAGTCTTAAAGTTGCCAAGGTTGAGAACCCCTGCTCCAAGGGGTCAATGGGGGGAGCCCTTGGAAGGCATGAGGGAAATCGGTAGCTTGCGCCGGAGGGCAGTGAGGGTTTGACGGGGCGGGACACTCTGAGGGACGAGGATGGGGGAGAAGGGGAAGGCGCTTAGCCGAGAGGTTAGCTAATTTAAGGAACTGAGGGGACGGGGTGGGGGCCGAGACACGACGGTAGCTGGAAGGGCTACTCCGGGAAGCGAAGGCGGGCAGGGACGGCGCTGGGAAAAGGGTGTACAGTTGCTGAAAACGGCCTCGGTGAAAGGGAAGGAAAGGGCCGGGAAGTCAGCGCGGGTGCCGAGTCCAAGCGGGGAACCGGAAAGCAAGAGGGGGGGAAAGCCGGGGGCGGCTCCGGCTCTAGACGGGGAAGTCGAAACGGGTCAGGAAGCGCCACTCCTGGATAGCAGAGACGCCTCCGGGGGGGGGCGGACCAGGCCAGCGGGGGTCGTGATGGGGGGGGTGGAGGGCGGGAGGCAGGGAACCCAACGCTTCCCCTCCCTCGCATTTCCGCCTCTTCTTGTGACCGGCCTTGGCGGGAATGTTCGCCCCCAGAGCGGCCCCTCCCTCCCCCCAGCAGCCCTGAGGCGAGCGGACAACTTCAACCGCCCAGCGCCTCTCGCGCCTCTTGAAGCGCCTTCCCCGCGCTGTCAATGGGGCCACCCTGCGGCTGGGGAGCCAATCCGGGCTGGCGCGGGAAGAAGGTGGGCGGCGGGGCCTCAGAGGCCAAGGTCTGCCCGCCGCGCCGCGCCCTGGTATTGGAGCCTTTCTCGGAAGGCGGGATGCCGCCCTGCTCCGGCGAGCCTGCCAACCCGCCCACCCGGGCTTTGCCTCCAGGCGTGGGAGCGACCTGCTGATAGCAAGGGGGGGGGAGGAGGGGAAAGAGGAGACGAGAGGCCGCGCAGAAGTGGGTGAAAGGTCGTCGCGCGGCAAAGCCCAGTTCACGTTCCCCGACGCCGAGGCGCAGCCCCCGATCACGCTTTGTTCACATGTCTCCGCCCACTTCTTCGGGCGGGGCCAACCAATCGCAGCCCGCGCTGCCTGCCCCGAGGAGCCAATGGGAGAAGGGCGGGGGCCGCCCTGGAAGGAGGAGGGGGCGAGCTGTTTGGAGGGACGGGTGAGTCACGTCGGAGGCGTTCTGAGGTGAACGTGGCTCGCTGCCAAGATCCGGCTGCCGGCGAGGAACTCCCTGGCCTCGATTTTCCCCCCGTAGCCTGACCTGCTGAGCGGCCTCTGCTGGCAACCTGGTTCCCCCCGGAGTTTCCAATGTAAAAAATAGCCTTTCTGTCGCGTAGGCGCTGAAAATTTGCAGAAGCCGGGCGTCGGAGTCGCTCTGTCTCGGGGAAACAAAACCACTTATCGGAAGAATTCTGGTTATATGTACGTTTTTTCACTTCCTGGAAAGGAAAGCGGTCGACAGATAGAACTACAAATGAAATCCTGATTGCGTTTTAAAACATTATCAACTGCAGCAACTTTAAGATGTGTGGACTTCATTGCCAATGTTGAGATACACTGCTTTAAGACAAACCAAACACAAAACGTGGCCACTTTTGCACGTTAGAGAAACGTGGAGTTGAATAAGCCACAATCCAACGATAACCTACAGCATAAACAGTAGTAGAACTACAGGGTGGGACTGCAAACATTTAAACCACCACTTGGGGGTAGCGAAAAATTGAACAATGTTATGTGGTGTTTAAGCAATTTGCATGGCTGCTTATCTGACAGCACTGCCTCTAGGTAGCATACAGAAAAATAAGACCAAATCACAACTGAATACAGCTCGTTAAAATAACTGAAAATGTTACAAATACCCAGGGTCTCAAAACATTCATATTCACATGCAGTAACAAAACTATAAACCATGATCAAACAAGTCAGCCAGTGTGGTTCACTTCGCATTCTGGTCCAAGGGTACAACCAAGTCTTCAATTGCTTGTGAAAAGTCAAGGGCTCTTCCATAGGGCAGGTGTTCACATGGAGAAGAAAGCATGGCTCTTAGGGACATACTAGGACCCAGAGCAAAAACAACCAAGATGGGCTCTAAACAGTGCAGGATTCTCATAAATAAGCTAAGCTGAAGCTAAGTTAGCCCTGTTCCATTTTGGCCAGGGTATGTGAACTTAACTAACGTGGTTGGCTAAATTTGGCGGTGTCTCATGAATCTAATCGGTTAGTGCAGGCACGTCACGTGACGTCGCGCAACGTATCGGGCCCGTTTTGCCATTGCTGGCAATGGGGTGGGTGCGGCTTCCACGTGACTCATCTGGCCTGCGGGCTGGCAGTTTGACACCCCTGGGCTAATGACTAACCAATTAGTGGTTGTATGAGGTGCTTGTCCAATGGTTAACTAAACCATGATTTAGTAAATTAATTTGATTGCCAGGGTTGCCACTGTACACTGGCTGTAATTAGAGAATATACTGAATCACAAAAGTAATCAACCACTAAGATATTATGGAAACCCAATCTGTATGTTTAGTTTATGTTTTTATGTAGTCTTATCTATGAATTGAACCTTGCGGAAGATGGAGAAGCATTCATATTTTGATGTGTACATCATAGCTGAAAAACAGAACAAAACCTGGGGCCAACACTGATGTGTTTAAACACAGGATTTTTGGTCCAATGGCTTACTTGGTTGAACTTTAACTTAACAGCCTTGCTAATTGAGCTTCTAAATATTTTGCAATCAAAGAGATTTATTTGACTTCCTGATTGTGTTGATTTTAAAGAAAGTAGAGAGATAATTGTTACGTTATGATTACTATGTTTGTACATCCTAAAATAAATCTTAAGGATAGAAAAAATAAATTTGGACTGGAACTTAGTGTTATTCGTTATAATTCATTTTTGTGACTTTTTGGCAGGTTTTGCATTTTTAATCAGTTTAGCTGATCAACACCTTTGTGTGACTTAATAACTGAAAACTGTTGCATTCCCTCCCCCCCCTTAGGAAGAAGGAATGGAGATGATAGCTAAAAAGCAGTGCCTCAGGAAGTGTTATTGGAACTATACCAATGAAAAGAGTGCTTTTGAAGCAGTGGAAGCTCTCATGTCCATGAGCTGCAGCTGGAAATCAGACTTCAAAAAGTATGCTGAACGGAGGCCGATGACACCAGCTTCAGATACATCTGAGGAATTTGAAGACAACGTGCTACCTCCTGCTGATTTTCGTACAATACCGGCTTTTGTAAGTTTTATTCTGTTACAAATTACTAGTTTACAGCTTAGTGCTGTGCTCTGCTTAGTTTATTGGCACTTATTCTAAGGTAAACATCTCTCAGATAAAAGCTAAAATCTGCAGAAATCCAAGTCCTCATAAATAGCTCACTACTCTTTGCTTTGTTTTGTTCAGTGTTTAACTCCACCCTACAGCCCTTCTGCTGACCTTGAAATGTCTCAAGCAGTTCATCCAGCAACATCAGCGCCCCCTTGTGTACAGAACAAGCCATGTCCGGACCTTTCTGATCAAGTCTTTATTACGGTATCTCCTAAAGAGACCCAGAATGTTCCAGGGCCAAGAATATTGAGAGCTCAGGCAACCAGTGTCATTCGCCATACAGCAGATGCTCAGCTTTGCAGTAGCATAACCTGTCCAGCAAGAACAGACCATGTTAGGAAGTATGATGATAACATGGGGGAAGCAAACCAGAATGGCAATACAAAATCACATTCAGAAGACAATACAGAAGAAAAACAAAATTTATCTTGTAAAAACATATTGCTGAATACTGCATTTTCTGAAGATAAGCCGTCAACCATACAAGAATCCAAAAGTCCATTACAGACCATGAGCCCAGTGCCTTTCCAGCAGACTGTACTTGATACCTCTCCTTCTGTCCTTTGGCCTCCAAAGGTAGCCCCTCCATCTTCTTTGCAAGTAGGAGGAGTCTCTTCTGTGCCATTGGTTTGCCAGATGGTTCCATTCTCTGCTAACAACTCGCTTGTGACAGCAATAGTATCTAACACTCCTTGTGGTCAATTGCCATCAAACCTTTGTCATCCAATGGTCCTCATGGGAACTCAAGTTCCCAAACCAGTTATGTTTGTAGTGCCACAGACTGTTGTACAGAATGCCAAGGCTCCGGTGACCAGTCCTCACAGCACCAGACTATCTCCTATTGCTCCTGCTCCAGGTTTGGCCCCTCCTGCCACAAAGATCACTCCGTCTGTTGACTCTCTCAGAACAAGAAGCCATATTTGTAATTACCTGGGCTGCGGAAAAACGTATTTCAAAAGCTCCCATTTAAAGGCACATGTTAGAACACATACAGGTAAGCTATGGAATTGTCTAGTGTGAAAAATTCTAAATCAGACATGTCAAGCACAAGGCCCGGGGGCTGGATGCAGCCCGCGAAGTGGTTTCATGTGGCCCGCAAAGCCATCCTGGAAACAGTGAGGGAACGGCCCCCCGCTGCCTTGGCCCTGGCCCAGGCCAGCCAAGAGCCAATGTACAATTTTATGGTGGCCATTTATGCTGAAACGCATTCAGTCTTAGCTCCATAAGCGCCCCCCCCGCATGGCCTGAGAGGAACAATGAAGCTCCTCCAGTGGACCATGCCTTGGCACTTGCCCTGGTCCCACCCCCTTCTGCCAGAGACCCTCAGATCTATCCCACTCCTGCCCACGCCCCCACAGGCACCCTTGATGTGAACAATGTAGAGCTGGCCACACCCACACCCACCCAGTAGGCCACACCCACTCCATCCACACCCACCCAGTAGGCCGCACCCACCCAGCCCCCTGAGGGCAACCGCAATGCTGATGCGGCCCTCAATGAAATTGAGTTTGACATCCCTGTTCTAAATTAACACGATGGGGAGATTTGCTGTTATTCACTTATGCAACTGTTTCCAAATGTTTTGGTCTATATGTTTTTATGAGAAACTGGTAACAAGGAAGGAAAGTATCACTTATAGATAAGGAGCGTGTCAGATTTATAATTTGAAAGTTAGATTTCTTTTGCTCAGAATAAAACCGCTAATGTCAACCTTCACAGATTGTTACTAAAATATCATTTAACTTAAAGAAGATCTGAAGGTCTAACTTGGAGACATGAATTATAATTTATATTTTGATTATATGGAACTGTAAGAATGCAGTAGATGGCACATAATATTTTGCTTGGGTTGTGATATGACTACCATTATTACTTTTCAAACGTTTTTTTCTACTTTATTTATTCTCTGGTATTAATAAAGGTCTGTCCCTTGCTAATAATAAAAAACCCACTTGTGCCATTAATTCTTCATTTTGTATTTTAGGAGAAAAGCCATTCAGCTGTAGTTGGAAAGGCTGTGAGAGGAGATTTGCCCGTTCTGACGAACTATCTCGCCATCGCAGAACACATACAGGAGAGAAAAAATTTGCCTGCCCGATGTGCAGTCGACGGTTCATGAGGAGTGACCATTTAACAAAACATGCACGTCGCCATTTGTCAGCCAAAAAATTACCAAACTGGCAGATGGAAGTGAGCAAGCTAAATGATATTGTTACACCACATACCTCTGGGGCTGATCAATGAAATAACTTTGTCTAAAGAGGCTGTTTAGCTTTTTTTTTTTTCAGTGTACGACTAGGTACCAATGGTAATGTGAAAAAACCTTGCAGAATAACTGTGGTTTTACAATATCAGATTGGCATAGATTGAAACAGAGGCAGTGGCTACCTGTATACCTTGGGTATAATGTATAGGATAGCAGGCATTTTTGTGCTTGGAGTGCTTGGAGAAAGATGACACGGAAATGCCAATGCCAGTTCTGGAAAGAGTTATTCTTGTGTCGTCTGTAGCTGGGTATAAACTAGAGAGAGATGCAGACATTAGGATGTGGGAATGTTTTCAACACTGTTGCAAACAAAATGCAGAATCTCAGTTTATGGTACAGAATCAGGGATAAATTTCAGTAATACTAGAATGCTGAAACTTTTAAGTAGATATACTTGGTCTTTTCTCAGTTGTGAATGATGACGGAAATATGGTTATCAACTTCCTGAGATTAAGTGTATGTATCTTCATTTCCTGGTATATAAAGTATGGCTAATTTAGCAATTCTGTATAACTTAAGTATATCATTGAGAAAAGTATCATATGGCTGGATTATTCTAAAGGCAAATTTTTACTACTTTGAAAGCATCACAGTTAGTACTATTAGCTGTACTTCAACATATTTTGTTACTTGTGTGTTTAAATTGTGTGTTTCTTTTATACATTTACATTTCTATATCACTGAAACCTTGATACACTGCACTTTGTTTAAAGGATAATTTAAGAGTTACAAAAGCTTTATTCTCCAGGAAGAACATAAGCAGTGTGCTATGTTGCTTCCTGAAATTTCTCTAAAATAGATTACAATAGAAGTATGATTGACCTTTATATGTTATAGATATATTTTAAAATGACATAAAATTGGAAAATGGTGGGTTGCTTATGAAGCAAAGAAAGTCAAGTCATCAGTCCTAGATGTGTATACAATGATTTTGCCATCATTTTTTCAATTCTCTTACTATACTGAATAAATATAAAATTATAGAGAGTATTGTAATATCTATTTTGTGACTACTTAAGATTTTGCACAAGATTTCTTATGTACTTTATACTTGTTTACAATAAATGTAATTTTCTTTAATATACCATGTGTTCTCAGTTTTTTATATTTTATTTAAAAATTGATATTGAAATTCAGTGTGACGTTATTTGAAGCGTTCTGAACTTAGTGACCTTTTGTAAATTGCTAAGAAGATATTATATATAATGATTTTTTACATGATTGCTTCTAACAATGACCTCTAAATTTTCCTTTGAGCCTTGAGCACTTAAAATAATGGGATATAAATGTTATAATAAGCTGCCCATGGTTAGCTTGAGGTAAGATGGGCGTCCTATAAATTTTATAAATAAATAATAAAAATATCTAGCAGCAAATAACATGGTGTAAGATGATAGAATGACAAAAATAGTGATATGGTGCAAGCCCCTCTTTTGTACCCATGACATATGTCCAAAAAGGGCAAGATTGTGTTGTGATCTCCCAAAGAAGTGGGGTCACCTAAGTTTATCAGGACGCACCCATTAATGTCCAGGTTGCCATGTTTTTTAGTAGTTGTAGCTTCCAAATATTGTTCAAGGGCAGCTCCATGTATTGTATGTTTAGGTAGTCAAAATGAGAAGTAATTTGGGCATAAGTGGCTATAAGCGTGGCTTCCCAGACCACAAATGGTCACAATTGGCATACAAGATTTAACAGTACTCTCCTAGCCACAGCTGTTCCCTGCTCCTCAAATAAGAGCTGTAAGTCTAGAAAAAGTCCCAGACTGTGGACCACCTGTCAGAAGAGTCAAGAGATGGAATTTCCCTGGAATTGGTGAGCCCAGAAACCCAACACCATTTTATCTTGGAGTGATTCAGTCACAGTCTTTCCCTCCCCCATCCAGATCCTGATAGCTCTAAGAACCTTCTTGCCTGTTCAGCCTGGGGAATGAGATGTAGAACTGGGATCATCAGCATATAGATGATCCTGAATCCTATGCTGACCAGATGATTTCCCCCAGTGGTTTCATGTAGATGTTAAAAAGAAGTAGAGAGAGAAGCAATCCATTGAGTAGAAGTCTCTGGTTAGATTTCTCCCACCATCACTTCCTGGAACCATTTCTTCAGAAAGGAGAACCATAAATCAACAGCAAATGTTTTTTGCTTTGGGTCAAAAGCTCTTGAACAGGACCATTGTGATGCTTCTGAATCAGAAATCACGTATTTTAAATATTCTAAATACTTGAACTTTGGAAATCTGAGAGTCATATATCAAATGCATCATTAGCAAGCTTGTAGGGTTATTTTTAAAATGTTCAGACATCTTGACACATGACAAATATAAATATCTTACAAGGGCAGTCTTGCATTTGGTGTGCCATGAGGCTTATAAGTAACAGGGAATTGGCAAGCATCACAGTTGACCCAGCCAATTACAAATTCTTCTGAAACTTTATATTTTCCAAATATTTAGTTTGTGGGTGATATCTGTCCTTTTCATCCTGCAATATATGATTTTGAAAATGTTTTTCAGTTCTCAATTTATTAATTATAGTGTAATTAAAGCAGAAATGATAGGTCTCCATATACGCTATCAAATTCCATGGATTCACAATTTGTTCCAAGTCATGGCTTATGACTGGTGTGTAAACACATATAATTGTTCAATAAATCATAGATCAGTGCAATTCTATCTTATGCAAATCCATCAGTGCAATTCTATCTTGTGCAAGTCATAGTTTGTCAACAAAGCTTAGTGAAATAGTGTATTATATCACCCGTCCACAAATTGTGGCTTATATAATTCAATAAAACTGCCAGGAAATAATATTTATTATCTAGGTGATTTTTCTTTGTTGTTTTGCAGATTAATGAGGACTAGTATAGTGCTCAGTTCATTATCACTTTCTGGCTAGATTCCTATTTGCTTAACATATAATAGAGAAAATTATTGTGACATTAAGTAGAAAAACATAGCATGCTATCTAAATTCATTTTAATATAGCTATTCAAGTTTAAACTATAACAACTATTTTTAATAAAAAATGCCAATAATCACAATGCTCGTATTATTGTCTCAGTAATGGCATTACAATACATTATAAATGGAGAAATGAAACTTGAGTCTATCTATTCTAAAGAATATCCTTAAATGACTGTAAACAATTTATAAACATTATCAACAATGCTTCAATTGCTCTGATATTGGCCAACGTAGAAAGTTTTGCTAGTATAGGAAAATTGAGAGTTTAACAAGAAATCAAGAGAACAATTAACTACAAATTCACTAAGGATATAGGCTTAATTTACCTTTACCTTTTTAATTTCTAACATTTTTAGTTTTATCATTATTTCTCCTGCCTAATTCCAGTTAACAATCTTATTGCATCTGGCAATCTCAAACAATTAGTGTTCCAACTTCCAGTTTTGATTCAGGTTATAATTTTTTCCAATCTTACCATTTGTTTATGATACATTTACTCTGTAAGTTAAAAAGATGTGCGGACAATATGCATTTTTTCTCACTTTTTTCTCCATTCTGGGCCAGTCTGTTTCGCTAAATTAAGTTCTTATCATTGTTTGTTGCAAATATACATTAGAAGAATAAGTAAACTTTCTGGCACACTGTTCGTCCTTTTAGGTATGTCAGACACAAGAGAGGTTCCAGGAATGGTACTTTTTTCTTGCAGGGTATATTATCAGAGTTTTGAAAATCTGACAAAGTTTCTTTCTACCCTCTATTACACCAAAGATGATCAAGGAGGGATATCTTGAGTTTCTTTCTAACCCTCTCTTCCTTCACAGAGCAGAGCCAATTTTTAACGAATGTTCTTGCATTTCTTTTTCAAGATTAGCTCCCGTACTTTTCTGCACATATCCATTATCCTTAATATATTCCTCATTTTGGAATAATCTACATTGCCAAAGTGATGTAGTATTTAATGAATTTCTCTCTTATCTCTCATGTTTGCTTTGGGTTCCTCTCCCCTTTCTAAAACCTCTCTGTCTCTTTGGCATTTGCCTCTTCACTAAGGAGGTATTTTTCTTTGTAAGCCAATACTATGGAACAAACAGAACAGTGTACAGTAATATCCAGCAAATCCATAAAGGGAGAAAGGCTGTATTTTTGATGATTAGCAATACAATATTGCTTTTAATAAGGCTGAAGGCAGACTATGTCTGGAGCTGCAGCATTCTATTCATCAGGTTGGGTAAATATAAAATATTGGGCACCAGCTGAGAGCTGCTAAAATATCTTGGATCAAAAACAAGTTTTTTTAAAAAAGAAAGAATCTAATTACTAGCTCCCTGTAGGTGGAAAGGACATCTATCTGCAAAACAGAGGTGTTAATCTGAGAGATCACTGGCAAGAAAAAATCTATGGAGCTATAAGTTTGGGGAAAAAACTAAGATGGAAGTAGTAGTACAAAGAGCTCCATAAACTTTAACTAGTTTCTTACATTACAAATATCAGAACTGATTTGGATAGATGTTAATAGCCAATGAAGTGGTTACCCAATGTATGTTATTGCTGAACCTGACATTAAGTTCAAATCAAATTCAAACAATTCTTGCCTATGAATAACTGCCCAAAGTCCTCAAAGGGCATCAGAGTATTGATTGGAACCACAGGACACTGTGTCATCTACCAGCCACTCTGTTCTTTCTTATTCCAAGCATCAACGAGGTCATTGACAGAGTGGTCAGCCTTTCTCTCAAATATCCCCTAGAATAGATCTTGTTAGAACCAAATAGGATCCACCAACCTAAGCCAGCACTACTTCCTCAAAAGACAATCCAGATCTACCACCTCAAAAGCAAGTTTAAATAAGATGGCAGCAAAATGATTAAATTTCAGATGACTCACTGCCCATAGTTGCATCTAGACTCTTACTCCAATTCCTGTCTCCATTCTACTATTTCCCACTCAGGATCTTCTTTCTCAGAATATTTCATACTTTCTTCCCTAGACTCCAACCCCTACTGCACTTGTTAGGTTTGTCTGAGTCTGAAAAGACTCAAGACTCATCAAGCTGTTTGGAAATCCCCCTTTCATTTTTAAATTCTATGTTTACCCCTGGAGAATCCTGTTGCAATATCTTCCATTTTGTTTGAATGGTGCTGCTTTGGTTATGAAAGGTTCCATACTTAAAGAAAATCTCTATTTGCCCTGAGTGCATAATTTATTTTTTTACAGCTCTATTCTTCCCTTTCTCCAAGGCTCAAGTAGGTCTAACATTGGCATTTCCCCTCATTTTTGTCTGTCCTCACTTTGCCCCAAAAAAGAGCCCATTAAAGCAGCCACATAGTAGTTGGATTGGAACGGGAGAACATCCACACAATTGCAACTATACATCCATGCAAACCTATGCATATAATTTGGGGGGGGGGGATGTTTGTGCATGCCTCTGAGTCCATGAATCAACCTCAATAAGTCCTTGCTGTTTTCTTCAGAAGATTTTTCAGAAGTGACTTGCCTTCTTAGGGCTAAGAAAGAGTGAAGGTCACCCAGCTGGCTTCTTGCCCAAAGTAGGATCAGAACTGATGCTTTCCTGATTCTCATTTAATGCTTTGACCAGTACACCAAAATGACTCATATATATGAAGGTAAAAGGATAACATTTTTTGCTATGGAAAGAAGGAATTGCATAAGAGTTTGTACTAGGTTTCTCTTCCAGGAATACCTTTGGCCCACCTAAGGAAAATCAATATCCATGCCCCAAGATTAGCCTAAAATGGGAATGAGTAAAGTACACTTCCGGCCATGCTTATTTTGAAATTTTTCACCTGTCTGAAAATATAAATAGAGTGGTGCTTAATTCTATACAAATACATGCCACCTAGTGGTAATGTTATCAAATATCCCTCAAAGTCTTTTATTTTTGTGAAAACTGGAAGATCAGCTTAAGTTTGATGAGGGTATCTATAAATCACAATTATCTGTGCTGAAACATTTGCTGGTAGTAAACAAAGCACCTGTGCACCTTGAGAAAGATACTGAAGCTGATTTAGGATAGTTCACAATGAATTACCACCTGTGTACATAGAAATAGTGTAAATATCTCTCACAACATAGGGCAGGGGTCTTCAAACTTGGCCCTTTTATGACTTGTGGACTTCAACTCCCAAAATTCCTCAGCCAGCATGCCTGGCTGAGGAATTCTGGGAGTTGAAGTCCACAAGTCATAAAAGGGTCAAGTTTGAAGACCCCTGACATAGGGACATACAATGTAGTTTATTCTTCAGAGGAAAAAAATTGATAGTGAATAAAACAGTGAATGAGTAGTGTGAAAGAAGTATGTCTAATAATGAGAAAATGATGAGGATCAAACTGCAAAATAAATTTATGGAAGAAGGGTGAATGGTCAAGAGAAAGAAAAAGTTATGATTGGTTTTGTTAGCTACTCAGAAACTTGAGAGATGTGTAAAGAATAAAAGGCAATATATATGAAGCAGTGTGTGGAAGTTAAAGCATGAATAATTTGCAAATATAAACATAGGGGGAATAGTAAATTGTGGTTTTATTCACTATCAGTTCATTCAGCAACCATTCCTTATTAACCCTTTTGCTTGGTTTACTAAACAAAGTTCTTATGGATCCCGTTTCCACTCTATTGAGTGAACTTTTCTTTCCTCTGACATAAGCAGCTCTCCCTGCCAAAGAAGAAAAGGGTAGTGATATGCTCCTAATCTCAGCTTTCTTTTATTTAACATTCATCCCTTGGACAGCCACATATCATCCACTTACCTTTTGACCAGCATTTGCGCACGCTTTAAGTTGTCCAATCAATTTCCCATTTTCATCTGTTTGGCCTGTGTTTGTTACCATTTATGTATATGATTTCATCTATTTGATCTGTTTGTTACCATTTATGTATTGTTTGCAGTTGATTTATTTCCCTTGTCAAACACAATTATATTAATTTCTGTTGTAAACAAGAATAACAATTTGGCAAAAACTTTTAGAGGCCCCTAGGGATCACTTAAGGCTTTGGTCTAGCTCTGAGTCTTCAGCATGTATATTTCTGATCTCTGTGATAAGAGGTGACAAGATTGGAGAAATCGGAAGTGTGGGATACTGTATAGAGGAAAAAAATACATCACTAAAAATATATGATGGAAATATCAGAAAATCGATACCATGGACGAGTAGTGGAAATTGGGCAGGGTTTTTTTTTTAAACTAAATTTATCTTGTATAAAATTGCAGAACAAGGCTGCCTTGTTATTATATTTAGCAAACTATGTGATACACTGTATGTTGCCATCCTATAAATTAAATATTATCTGGCAATGGGATAAATTATTTGCATAGAAATGCTCTTTGCATAAGCAGTGATTTTACCAGATAGAAAGTTCAACCCTAATTTATGTGGATTGCAGGGGGGGGGGTTATTTTAGCACCAAATTAAAACATACTTCAAGTGAGATTTTTTTAAACATAAAATGTTACTATTTTACATTACTGGAATTCCACATTCCAATTCCATGGCAATATGTGTAGGCCCCAATTCTCATTCTCCAGCCAGTAATGGTGGATGGGGAATTTTGGAATTAAACTCTAATTTATATGGACCATGACAGCTGCTGGAGTAAGATTCCCTCCAACTTATGCTGTTCATTTCTTTGTTGTCGTTCAACAATGTGCTAATTTTGAATTCAAAAGGTTTTTTTTTCTTTTGCTGTCCTGCCATTTCCCCTGGATATAAGGCAAAACAGCCTGGAATCTGAACTACTTACCTGAAATCTTCCATTGATCTCAATGGGATTGACTTCTGCATGGATATATGTAGAACTGTGCTACATGTGATATTGTACCAGAAGGCCACCTACCCTGGAATGAGGCAAAGGACTCTAGGAAGATTGAGACCAAATCAAATGCAGAAGGGCAAAGTCAGCCCAGGCATTTTGTGACTTGAGGCAAAAGACATGATGCTGGGGGAAGTTATGGGTGGGAAGCCCATAGAGCAGTGGTTCTCAACCTTTTTAATGCCGCGACCCCAACCGATCATAAGTCGAGGACTAAACCGGTCGTAAGTCGAGGACTAAACCGGTCGTAAGTCGAGGACTACCCAACCGGTCGTAAGTCGAAGACTTTCCCTGCCCGGGAGCACCGCACATGCGTGGTTCCGCCCCCTGCGCCGGCCAAGGCGTAGCTGGCAAGCGGCAGAGACAGAGCAGGCCGACCACCAGCTGGCCCAGCCCAAGGGAGGTAAGGCACCCACCGGAAAAGGGGAAAAAAATGGCGGACAAAAAAAATGGCGGACAGCCTTGCTTGGCGACCCCCATGAAATGGTCGATCGACCCGAAATGGGGTCCCGCCCCACAGGTTGAGAACCACTGCCATAGAGGAACTGGGCAGATCATCAGCTAAATTTTACTTTCCCACTTGAGATAGATTATCCCTTCTACCACTTTTAAAACAGCAGGATACCTTGTGGAGGGTACAAAGCAAGTCAGGGGATGTACAGAGCTTCCTCCCTCACCATCATGTCAACCGTCAGTGTGCACTTTCTGAGGTTGTTTCACGCTGTTTGGCCCTGCATGGGATGTAGCCAGAGAACTAGAACCCCAAATTTCTTTTCAAACCTAATAAATGTCGAAAGGCATATCATCATGAAAGGGTGTAGGGTTCTAATACTAGGTTGGAATACCTAGTGTCCATATTTCATTGAAAGCTGCTTTGGCACCAGTTTCTTTGTATTATACTACAAGTTTAAAAATGAAGAAGTTAAGTTGCCTTCAGTCAGACTATTTGCCATTAAGTCCAGTTTCTTCTGTTCTAACTAGCAGCAACTGTCCAGCAGCTTTGGCATACAGTCTTACCTGCCCCGTTATTTAATCCCTTTCTAAATGGAAGTGCCAAAGCATGTGTCCGGTTATTGAGTTGCTTCCCTTCTCTAAAGCTTTCTTAAGAAAAATAAAAATACTATTTTCTATCCCTGTTTCAACTGCCAACTAAGCAGACATTCTTCAAGGAACAAATAACATCCTCTTCCCCCCAAAAAAATGTACAGTCAAACCAATTGATGTGCAACACTGTCATTGTTGGAAGAAGTTTACACATTTCCTAACACATGATCAAAGGGCAATGCTGAAAAAAATGCCGTTTTCATGAGGTCCCAGTGTGTCCCATCCTTGCACTGTACAGCTACCAGAGCTGATTGCCCAGTGTTTAAAGAAGACCAAGGAGACAACAAGGAGGCACACAGCAAGGTGATTCGATCCTCACAAGACTGGTCGGTCCTATGGTGTATGTTACTTCATTCTCACAAATTCCTGGTGGTAAACAGATCTCCTTGGTGACAGTTGAATAGTTGTATTCCTTCCCTCTACAAGTCTTAAATTCTTCTTCATGTTCAGCACAAACTTTAACCTTCCCATCTTGCACTTTCACTGTAATGTCTTCTGGGTCAAAACCTTTAACATCCATTAAAGCTAAAAGCTTTGGGCGACTACATGCTGCCATCATTTTACAAACCCTTCTTCGAATCCTGCAATTATAACAAAGAAGAGGATAAGAGTGCAACATACCACTTTAAATATTAGAATATCCTATACAAATCTGATGATATACAAAGTTCAGTACTTAGCAGTAGAAGTTAATACATCTCAAATGTTGCTGGAAACTAAGCTGTAGAGATTAAAAGAAATGTTTCAGAGTTGAACTCATCTGTATTCTACTGAGGTTAGTAATGACAGATTAATGAAATTCCTATCAGTGTTGGCATTACTGACATGATTATACACAAGAAACATCCACACAAATTTTGTTAGGGGGAAAATTGAGATGCACTAGCTTAGGAAATGCTGAAAGATTGTCAAAGAATGCTAAAAAAAGAATTGGGAAAATGTATGATGCAAATCGTATTTCAGAATACTCTTTTTTGCTAGGCTTTTATTTGCACAATGCTAAGTGTGATGTGAACCTATCTACTGGAGTTTGTTAATTCTAAAGAAATAGCATTATAAGGTAAAAAACAAACAGAAGAGAATATATGTAGCTCAGGTTGATCTCCTTAGTATTCCCTAGCTTGGTTGTTTGTCAGTTAATGAAACATCTGCAAACAAACAATCAAGTTTAGAAAGCACCAAGGACTCCACAGACTTAGTATGATTTGTGGATTGGGTACTTTAAACAGGATAAACTGGCCCTTAGTTCAGGTAAGGTGAGACGTTATTCAGAAGTATCAGGACAATTTAGGCTAAGAGGGAAAAAGTTTTTTTAAAAGCACTCTATCAAAAACTACATACATATCTTGGAAAAGGCACTAATAAACTATTTTGGAATTTTGTCAAGACAATTGCATGGAACTGTCCATGAAGTTTCCAGGAGATGAAGAAAACTTGAAGACTTTTAAAATATTTATTCAGTCCCAAGTTTCTCATTTTTCAAATGAATATTACACATGTCACAATGAAACTTTTATATCTGTATCTATTTTCCATTGGGCTATCCAATTATATAGTCATGTATAACCTCAAACTAACAATTTCCATCTGGCAGGTATGTGGATGTCAAGTGCCTAATCAGAATGGCTTCTTAAATATACAATTGTCCAGGCTCACTGGGCCATATTCACTACAACACTCTTGCCATACCAGTTGGCTTAATGCAATATGTAAATTTGGACAAAATGGTGGTATCAGAATAGAAGGATCTACCTTTAAAATGTACCAGTAAATTCTGCCTTTTTTCATGGACTCAGAATGTAAATCTATTTTGAATCAAACAGCAAGCAAATCTTTGTAATAAATAAAATATAGTCCTAAATATAAGAAAAGAACTTTGGCTATTGAAGACTTAGCTATATTCAGACTGCCCAGCCAAAATGTATTCAGTATGAGTCTGCCTTTAAATAAATCAGATTTCAGCTGCTAGAAGGCAGCCACTGGAATCCTTGTTGTAGACAAATGGTTGCATCGTGTTACACTGTTTATCCAGGAGCCATATTTGCCACGGTTTTCCCAGGCTGAATCAACTTTCTGCAACCTGATGCTCTTCACAATGGTTGGAAAATCACTCTTGACCTCCACATTCAACATGGCCAGGTGAGGTGAACCTTCCATATAAGAGTCTCCTTGTGAGACAAATGTAACTTCTGATGTGTTGCTAATTTGAATGCATTTTAAAAAATAAACTTGCTTTTGCTGATTTTTAATTAAAAGGGCTCAATCTTGTTGCTGTTTGATAGGGAGAAAAATAACACATCCCTTTGTTCTAGACTTCATTATTGCTAGCTTTCGGTTTGAGACTGTGATTACTAAGCAACAACATAATAGTCTTGAAAAAAAGTGAGGGCTTTTCTGCAGAAGACTGATTAGGAAGAAGACAGAGACCAAGCTGTAATTTGATTTTTCATTAGGCATAATATCCCAGATCATATTTAACTTTTCTTTTTCTATCAGGCTTTCACCAGTGTACCACAATAGCTACCTGCTCTCTTCCCCTCCAAAAATGTTTTCATGTGAAGCCAAGGGTAAGGCATGGATAGAATAATGAAGTCTATTATAGATACCATTTATCTTAATAGTGAGAAATATAATCTTCTAGAAAGTCCAGGGAAGATATTCTTATTCTATATTATGTCCAATGTTTTAAACTTTACATTTATTTCTCCCAACTTTGCAAGCAGCTACGGTAGCTACGGTTTTCTCAAGCTTTTTTGTTATGGAAGCTCGCAGACTATTTTCAAAACAGCCTCTTCTTTTCCCAAACTCCCCACTTCTTGCCTCGTCCTTCTCCCGAAGATTTAGTGCAAAAAAAAAAAAAAAAAAAAAGAACTAGCCATGTCTTGTATTTAATGTATAAAGCTGTTTCACTTTCTTCAGTAGATGTTCTTGAGGAATTTTTCTTCATACTAGCTCAAAATCCCATAAAATACATAAAATACTCACCATGAATTCAGAGATTAGGAAAAGTGTGCACTGAACCTCAATTATCCACAATATTATTTAAAGGAGATCATATTAGGACAAGTTATTTTTATTATGATGTTTTGCAGAAGCATTTATAGGATTCTATTAGGCCAGGGGTAGGCAACCTTGGCTCTTTTATGACTCGTGGACTTCAACTCCCTGAATTCCTGAGCCAGCCATGCTGGCTCAGGAATTCTGGGAGTTGAAGTCCACGAGTCATAAAAGAGCCAAGGTTGCCTACCCCTGTATTAGGCCTTAGTATGGATCAGAACTACATAATCTGATACTTCCACACTGTGGTTCTGATCAACATTTCTCTCCCTCTGAAGGCACCATTTCCCTCCCCACTGGTGACAAATTTCCCATTGATAAGCCCTGTAGGGCATCTTTCAAGTAGAATCATCTTATCCTGAACCGTAGCTAACTATATTTTAGTTAGTTGTACAAACCCAGTCATAGGGTTAATTTATAGTTCAGTGTCTCCTGCATAATATGGGTTAAAAGGCACCTAGCAGTGCACTAAAGATAGAAACGTGAATATCAAGGAATACATCAATTGAGAATGCAAAGATCCTGAGAAGGAAAACAAAGAAATATATTCCTCATCGTTAAATCTCTAGTAACATCTCTATTTGTGAAATTGGGAGAGCTAACAGTTATACATGGTTGGGTAGTTTACATTAGCTTGCAACGTGACATACAATATTTCTGTGCTACCTTGGTCAAATAGTTGTGAGAAACTTTGAAAACCCAATGACCAATTACGTCTGCAGATGAAGCCAACTGACCCTTTGGGGCTCAATGTGATGTCATGACACATACAAAGAGAGGGCAGGGCTTGTGTTGTGATGCCACGATGCTATGCCATTCTGACCCTCCTTGCCCCCACCAACAGCCACTGCCACTTTCACTGAACTGGCAGCCTTTTTCTTGAGAACAGGCTATACCTCATCCCACATGAAAATATGAGGCATGTAAGACAAATTATGTCCAGCCTCTGTTTCAATGACCAATGGAACTAGTACCATTAATTCTCATTTCATTCCCCACTGGTTCTTGATCTAGTAAAGAAAGAAAGAGGGAACAAACTTACCTGGCCAGTTCTTGCTCAGCTTCTATTTTAGCTCTAATAGCTTTCCGCTCCAAGGTTGAGAGGCAGAGCGGCCGACAGGGACGGCAACATAGTATGTCACACAGGCAATGGGGGTAAGGATGGAGAAGGCAGCAACACTGGGGATGGAGATTTATATCACAGAGGCAGTGGGTCTGCACATCGCAGATTTTAGGGCAGCAACTCATGTCTATAAGCTTTACACGCCTTTTCATTTCTCTGTCAGTTCGCCTTAAATTTCGCCTCACAGTTTCCAAAGCGTGACAGAATGTTGCCATTAAGAAAGCATTAAACCATATTCACTTACGAGTACAGCCTTTGAAAAAGGGCACCCGTCAGAAAAAAAAATTGGTCTTGCAAGCCCTGGCCAGAAGATTGCATTAAGGAGCTAGCCCCTGATGCTTTAGTTGTACTTCAGCATGCTGTTTATGACATCATTACTGTGTAAGGATGTCACAATCTCACCATTTCCATGGAAACGGCAAACAGTATATCCCAGAGTACCAAATACAAACTCATTAACAGAAAGTGTCAAGTGTGCGGTTTTTATTGAATGCTATGGTTTAGTAGCCTACATTACACACAATTTTTATGCCGAGTCTCTCTTAATAAGGAGTGCACTTTGTGTTTGTGTTAATAGTTGGGATATGATAATTCAAAGCTTTATAAGTCACAACAAGGCATCATCTAGCCTCAGAAAAAAAAATATTTATAGAAAGGAAGCAAGTGTATCCCGAAAACTGAAATGGATTGACAATATATGGTCATAAAGTTATAGTCTGGGGCTAAAAATAATGCATTATTGATAACCTTCAGTTCCAAATTAGCCCTTATACCTTTTGATCAAAATCGCATAACAAACAAAAAGCTTTTTCAAAAGAAGAATCATTTATTTGAAAGCATTTGGGGTTCAATATGATTGCTGTTTAGGAGGAGTCCCTGTGGGTTTTACTCCACTTGTCCTTGCTGACTATAGGTGCTTATCTCTGTTTCAAGGCCATTAAGCCAGTGCTGTCCGAAAGATATTTCTGTGATTGCTATTTAACCCAGTGGTTTTTACTGTCTATAACTTTCTCGCTATGGTCAGATAGACCTTAGTTATCATAAGCCTGGATGAGAAGTAACAAGTAACAACAAGTAACAAGTCAAACGCGCAACGTCACGTGATGTGTTGCAATGTATTGTGACTTTTTTTCCATTGCCGGCAACGGGGTGGGCGCGGTTTCGGCATGACGCATCCGGCCCACAGGCCAGTAGTTTGACACCCCTGGTGTAGAGGGTATAAGGAATGGCCTTGAGGGACAGGACAAAGAGCCACTATCAAAACAAGAGTCAGATAAAGGGGAACAGAGTCCCGGGCAGGGATGTTGCTTGAGTAAACATCTTAGACAAGACCTTCCTGAGCTCTCATGAAAGATAAAAGGAAACATAAAAAATAAAATCTTCCATTTAGACTTGGAAGATTCTTTTACTATAGCTTTACAATAAAAGTAGTATTGGCCTTTATGACATTGGATTCATAGTCTGATTTACCTTGCAGGACTAACAAAAGATTGAGTTTTCACTCTTTCGCAGTGGTCCGGAGGCTAAGAGCTACTGAAGTATCAAATTCTGATGAGGTGAGGGTTTTGGTGACTGAAGCTATGATAGAATTGTAGGCATAATATTGCATGATAAAATAGTTATAAAGTATTAGCCAAGATTGCCCAGTTATCTCTTCATTACCAATATAATACTGAGCTATTATTAGTAAATGGTTAGAACACTAATATCATTAACTGAAGTACATATTCAAAAAACTAGAGTTCCTAATTTGGTGGCTACATACAGCATATCCAACAACTGATAGAATTTTACATGTCACCACAATCTATATAAATAGAAATGTAAATGTTCGTTTGTTCAAAATCTTAAATCTCCGAAACTTCTTCACCGATTCCTTTGAAATTTTGACACAACGTTGCATTCGAATACGCGCGTGTTTTTATATACCTATATTATAAAGATGTCACACCTGTGACAGGTAAAAACATGATTTTTTTGAAAAACAGCGCCATCTGTTGGCTGAGTGAACAAGAGCCACAGCAACGCGTGGCCGGGTACAGCTATTACTAATGAAATGTTAATTTAATTTCTGTTACGGCCAGTTTGGTTTGGTAAAGACATAAAGCTAAAAACAGGGAGGGTATGAGTTCTAGTCCCGTCTTGGACATGAAGCCAAGTGAGTGATCTTATATCAGTCACCCTCTCTCAGCCCCTGGCAAGGAGGCAATGACAATCCACTTCTGAAAAACCTTGCCAAAAACCCTGTCTAGGCCAGTGGTTCTCAACCTTTTTAATGCCGCGACCCCAACCGGTTGTAAGTTGAGGACTAAACTGGTCGTAAGTCAAGGACTAAATCGGTCGTAAGTTGAGGACTAAACCGGTCGTAAGTCAAGAACTACCCAACCGGTCGTAAGTCGAGGACTTTCCCTGCCCGGGAGCGCCGCGCATGCGTGGTTCCGCCCTCTGCGCCGGCCGAGGCGTAGCTGGCAAGCGGCAGAGATGGAGCAGGCCGACCACCAGCTGGCCCAGCCCAAGGGAGGTAAGGCACCCGCCGGAAAAGGGGAAAAAAAATGGCGGACAAAAAAAATGGCGGACAAAAAAAATGGCGGACAGCCTTGCTTGGCGACCCCCATGAAATGGTTGATCGACCCCAAATGGGGTCCCGACCCACAGGTTGAGAACCACTGGTCTAGGCAGTCTCTGAAAACTGGACATGACTGAATGGAATAAACAAAATATTCTGTTAAATGCATGTCTGTAAGCAGCATCTACTTACAGATGGAACTGATTTTATTGGAGAATAAATATAACTAATACTTTTAAATGTGCAAATAGAGTCTACTTTGCATTACGTTAACATCATCCTATTTCCCAAAGGGAAAGCAATCCACTATGGACAGTTCCAAAATGTCTTATAATTTACTCTGCGAAACTCTTAAAATCAGTAATATTAATTATTTACTGACAACTTATAAAATGTGTATTATCAGTGAATAAGTATGTCGATGCAATGGACTGATCTTGTTGATTTGGTTACTTTTGGTAGAAGCAATTTATCAATACCTGTTTAGTGTTTTCCAACGAATACAAGGCTGAGTGTTTTTCAATGAATTTAGAAAAATCTCAAGGAAAAAAAATGGTTGTTGAAATGATTTTCAATAAGCCAGGATTCCTGATTTGCAGGTAATAAATAACAAAGCTTTACAGCAGTGGTTCTCAACCTCTGGGTCGGGACCCCATTTGGGGTCGATCGACCATTTCACGGGGGTCGCCAAGCAAGGCTGTCTGCCATTTTTTTTGTCTGCCATTTTTTTTGTCCGCCATTTTTTTCCCCTTTTCCGGCGGGTGCCTTACCTCCCTTGGGCTGGGCCAGCTGGTGGTCGGCCTGCTCCGTCTCTGCCGCTTGCCAGCTACGCCTCGGCCGACGCAGGGGGCGGAACCACGCATGCGCGGTGCTCCCGGGCAGGGAAAGTCCTTGACTTACGACCGGTTGGGTAGTCCTCGACTTACGACCAGTTTAGTCCTCGACTTACGACCGGTTGGGGTCGCGGCATTAAAAAGGTTGAGAACCACTGCTTTACAGTCTGCATCTGATATGAAACTGGCTCCCGATGACTTTTTACAGTAGTGGCTGATTTCTGTGTGAATCCCGCCATTAACTATATTATTCCCTCTATTTTTCAATTTGAGACACGGCAATAGGTTGTGTTCTTTCGTTGCATCCTGATGCATGATACTCAAATAAACCAAGTTATTTTATAGCAAAACTAATAGCAAGACAATCGTCACCCTAATCACTATTGTCAACAGAATTTTTTTCTACTTAGACATACATAGGGTTGTATTGTTAAATACAGGTAGTCCTCTACTTATGACCACAACTGAGCTCAAAATTTCCACTGCTAAGCAAGCCATTTTGTTAAGTGAGTTGCACTCCATTTTATGATCTTTCGTGCCATAGTTGTTAAGTGAATCTGATTTCACCCATTGACTTTGCTTGTTGGAAGCCGGGTATGATCACATGACCCTGGAACAGACCAACTGTCAGAACAAGCCATTTGCCAAGCCCCTAAATTTTAATTATATGACCATGGGAATGCTGCTTGTGGTTTTAAGTGTGAAAACCAGCCATAAGTCACTTTTTTTTAGTGCCGTTTGAACTTTGAACGGTCACTAAAATAAATGGTTATAAGTCGAGGATTACCTGTGTGGATAAGAACCACACTGAAAAGGAAAGCTAAAAATTAATGCTGGGAATTGTTGCCAAAACCCAAAATATTACCAGTACTGTTGTGCAGGAAGAAATGCATAAAATCTAAAAATTAGTGAAAAGAACTAGTTCTTCCTAATACATGAAATTAAATTAAATGATACATCCTGAATATGCTTGGAGATTTTATAGGACTGTAATAACTGACAAATCTTATATGCATGCTCTTATTCTTTTTTTGGTTGCAGACAAGTATCAATCAACAGCATGCAGTGTCTTTCCAATGTAGGAATGTCGTTTTTCACAAGTGGCTGCTCAGAATCCCTCTTCATGGATTTTTAAAAAAATCCTCTATATTTTCTTGTTCGGAAACTATGATGGTAAACTGAAGAATTATATTTTGCCATTGTTTAATATCTAAGGGAGTAAGCATGTGTCCAGGAAGCAAAAACAATACTGTGGGCCATATTGTTTTTATTGGAAAATTGTATTAATTTGCTCCCTACCATAATGCCAGGCTCAGCTATAAAACATTTAGACACAAGAATGTAGATTAGCACACTAAAAGTTGGCAATAACATTGGGAAGCAAAACTGCTCAATGACAACTAAAGAAAATAGCTTTCAGACAGTATCTCCTCCTCAAAAAAGGAAGTCTTTAATCAGCTACTGTTTTGTAATATATCTATCACTAAACTTACCTCATCTCCGATGTACTGTCTGTCTGTCTGTCTGTCTGTCTGTCTGTCTGTCTATCTATCTATCTATCTATCTATACACACACACATATTGTTATTAGCATAAACTTATTGAATAGGGTTGCAGACTTGGCCTAGGGTAAATCAGACTAGGAAATCCACAGGAAGACCAAGACTACCATTATTGAAATTGGCAGTAAGAATAGAATCTTTCAAGTCTGATTGGTCAAACTGGTAGGAAGACCTGGCAGCCCTCACCCAAGTTTTGGCAACTTGACATTGGAATGTTTACTAATTGACCAAAAGATGGCAGCAGAGACACAATT